GAACAAATATTTTAAAGTTTTCTCCATTGTATAGCTCATGTGGTAAAGCGAATAACATTGCGGATCAATTAGATATATTTCTCTGAGGTCTTATCTGCTGCGTGGTTCCTTATGATGTCTTGTCTGCTATTTGCTATTTAATTTTTTATCTACACTGACATTTTTGTAAATATTTGTATATAGTATCCTTGTGATTGAGCTTCCTACATTTGTGTGTAATATGTAAGATATTGTGTATTTTTGATATTTGGACTTTATCCTACTCTGTAATTGGCTTTGTAGCTGTTGGGTAGAGTATAAATAAATAAATAAATAAATATTGAACTTGGATTCGTTACTGAAACATACCCTCTTCCAGTCACAGATGCTCCAATCAAGATGCAACCGTGCAAATTGTAATTGGTCCTTACGGTTTTTCCTCGAAATTAGCGGTTTCTTACTCGGGCGACGTGCAAATAACTTCAAATCATTTAATCTTCTACTTATAGTTTTCGTAGAAACACTGACAATTCCTTTTGTCTTGATTTCTGCTTTTATTTGTTTTGGGGTTTTAAATGGATCTTTGGACGAAATTACTTTTATTAATCTAACTGATCTAGCATTTAGTTTTCAAGCCCGACCAGTTCTCTTAGATGCTTCCAAGATACCTTTTTGTTGATATTTGTTCAATATTGCCCAAACTGCTTTACGTTTCAGCTTCAAATTTTTGGCAATGTCGACTGGATGTTGACCATCTTTGTATAACTCAATGATCTTAGTTTTCACATCTAAAGAAATTTCTGGACCAAGCGGCATGGTCTTGAAATCACTCAACTTATTCCACAATACTTGATGAACACAAACTAATCCTCTTCTGACACGAAAATGTACTAAACTAATGTTGAAAAGAATTTGTCTACATATTTTTGTCCCTCATAAAAAAGTGCTTATATTCAGACTTGTATTGTGTTCATTGCAGATAATGTAAAAACAAGGAATTCAGTTTTTCTACTAATAACGCATTTGTTTATGGAGCAATGAAGTATGAATTCTTTTTCTAAAGGTATTTAGGTGAATATTCATATTTGTCTATATACTTTTGTCCATTAATGTAAGAAAAATTCAAGAGGCAAAAAAGTTGTATTTTCAGATGCTTAATCAAACAATCAGTGATGTAGGATACATGGATTTATTTGACATCAAATTCCTGTTTCATACTATTGAAATTTGGCCATGAACTCAATTTATGAACTAATCTGTGGAATTATTATCAATGTAAAATGGATATAATTTTATTGTGATAAAAGTGCTTTAAACTTTATGCTAATGAAAGAGTGTTTTTGACAAAGGGCTATTATAAAAATCATATTATTAATATGTCATCAACTAGAATACCACACCTAATCATGTGATAGTTTGCAGATTGGTCAAAGAAGAAAAAATGGACTACACAATTGTAATGTTTTTGACTTACAGGTTCTTTCTGTGCCTGAATTGCTTTATTCATTTCCTCTATTCTTCGTTTGGTGTCAGCTTCAATCTTTGCAGCTACATCCTCACGAGAGCCCATGTGTTTTGCCTCAAATTCGCGAAACTGTCGCTCACGTTCCTTACGATACTTCTCAATTTCTTCCTGCGCTTCCTCCTTGGCCTGCTTTAGCCTTCTTGCTTTGCCTTTGTAAAAAACAAGTAGAAAAATCAACACGGCTGAATTTTTGTTTCAGTGTAAATATACCAACATTCTGGTAAATGTAAATGAGCTTGAGGAAAGTTCTGTGATAGGAGGTCTGAGGAAATAAGAAATTTGATACGTGTATTTTGATTTGAATGAGAAATCTGGAAAACAAAGTACGATCTCGTGATCACTAGATCCACCCTTCACGGGAATGTCGAAAAATTTAGCAAAAATTCACTTACGTTTTCGTGCTTCTGCTACTTTTTCTGCAGCACGTTTCTCTGCTGCTAATAATTGTTGAATACCTTGCGATTGGCTAGCCATTTTCACTTATTTTATGGAAAAATCAAGTAAGTATCGACCCGACAGCACCCGTCCTACAAAATCTGTATGCAAGCAGTCATATGACACAAAGTGACGTATCATATGGTTGACCTTGCGATGTTGCCGATACAAAATTACCTCCGAAGCTGTACTACTTTGAATGCCGAGGGCAGTGTTGCCAGGTGGAGCCAACGATATTTCGGTAGAATTGTGTGGATTTTTTCTGTAGATTAATACCGGAGAGTAAATGAAGGCAACTTGAAACAATTTTATTTAACTCAAAATATACTCTAAAACAGAAAGACAAAACAAAATAAACGAATTTCTCCTGGAAATAATAAAATAATCTATATAATCTTCTCAAATGAATTAATTAATTACACCTTTAATATCATTTTCTAATTTCTCTGATGCATCTGCAACTGCAAATGACAACAGTTTTTGGCTGTTTTGCTTTTTTATGAAATTTCCCATTCGCGGGTTTTATAAGTGCATCTCTTCCACTTGTGATATTAATATCTTTATCACAGACCATGCATTTCGCATAATCGCACCCTTTATTGTTTTTTTAAGGCAGCCTGGGAATCTGGCAATTCTTCCCAGTCTGCCTTATAATGTTGGGCATACTTCATTTTTTTCTGGCTGCTACGCCGCTGCTACAACCCTTACAACTACTGGCATTATTAACTATTTCTTGATTCACTATTGTAAACGCACGCGAAAAAAAAATGTACCGCAACACAGGTAATACTAATACTGACCGAATTCGGAATACTGAGTACACAAAAACATACAAATAGTATAATACAGGCATGGACTTGTCACGAGCCGCTAGGCCTAGGCGGTGATTCTCTAGATGCGAAGAATCAGCGTGTGTGACACACCAATGTCAGGCAAAGAGAATAAAAATATATCTGGTCTAGTACGAATAATAATAGTACTTTTATCGCTGTGCATCAGAAATATTTCTCCGATGTAGGGAACAAAAATCATTCAATTGAAAGAAAGTCCACTTTTCGGTAGATTTTGCTTTAAAATCGGTAGTTCGGTATGCCAGGCCCAAAATCGGTAGATCTACCGAAAAATCGGTAGACCTGGTAACACTGGCCGAGGGTCACTTCTACTTTGTGTTGCCAAGTCTCGTGAAATTTCTCCAGATCGAGTGATCTTATGAAAAATCTCGTGATTGGGGAAAAACTTCAAAATGTCAATTTCTGATGATTGATAAAATTTCTTCGATTTTAAATATTTTTGACAATCTTTGAACTGCCAAAAATTCTAACAATTACTAAATGTCCGAACCGGTACCGCGAGCACACTGATACTCGATACTAGTGTTTTATTCAAAACGGGGGAAGGCATGTTAAAATTCGTACCATTATTTTCCATCGTACACTTGCATGTATCTATGTACAAGTCATGCGACAATTATTTCTATTAAAGCACTATTGCCAACCGATATGTTGGATCTCCAGCCATTTGCTTTTGACGAAATGACTGGCAAATTTGTCAGCTTTGAACTTGCCACTGATCGTCATTTTTGGTTGTTATCGAAGAATACAACACTAGTGGGACAGCATCGAGCCAGTGTTGCCATTTACACTGATTCACACTTCCCAATGAAAGTTGTGTTGTATAGTATATTTAGGATATCGGAGCGGTGAGTGTAAATTGAGATCCACATGCTTAAAATTATTTTCTCTGAATTTTATTCATAAGCAATCTCGGCAACATCGCTGATGAATGTCAGCATTGTCATATCATACTTTCTGTGGAAAACACAGAGTCGTATTCAGCGATATATGGAAGTTTCCGACAGGTCAGTATTGAAGAATTTTGTTTCTAGGTCAGTCAGAAGATCCATTTTCAATTAGAAAAAATGAAGTATCGTGGATGTCTAGAGCGGCGACTCGATGGGTCTTATAAATAAAGGCGTAATTCACGAAATGTTTGTCGATTGTTAGCGCTGGGTGCAAAAATCAACTTACCTTTGAAAGGTCCTTCAAGGTGAATATCAACGTCAGATCCAAGATGCGCCATTTGATTTCCTGAAACTTTTGCATATAAAGTTTTTTTTTCAAGCACCATTAGTTTCTGAGATATTTTACCCTATATTTCATGTCATGTATGACAAAACCTTTTAAATTTTGGTATTATTCTATTTTGCCCATGATTTGAGTTTACCCATAACTGCTTTAATCCTGTCGATTTGGTCCGTATTCACATCCTCGAGCAGATCTTTACGGCGGGAGCTGAGCCCAGATCGCAGAAGGAGCTAAGACTTAAGCTATTGCTCATGCAATGGTTCAAGCTGTGTTCAAGCTCGGGCTCGAGCTGTGGCACAAGGTATCCCTCAGCCTATGCTCAATCTATGGATCAAGCTGTGCTTGAGCTAAGGTTCAAAATATGCTCAAGCTATGGCTAAAGCTATGCACAAGATATGGCCCAAGCTATGCTCACGCAATGCTCAAACTATGGCTCAAGGTATGCTCGGGCAGTGCTCAAGCTATAGCTCTAGCTATGCGCAAGCTATGGCCCAAGCTTTGCTCAAATTATACATCTAACTATGCTCAAGCAATGCTCCAAGCTATGCTCAAGCTACGGTTCAAGCTACGCTCTTGATGTGGATCAAGCTATGCTCAATGTGGTTTAAGTTATGCTCAATCCATCGCTCATGCTATGGCTCAAGCTGTGCTCTAGCTCAAGCTATGCTAGACCTATGGCTCAGATATGCTCGGGCTATTGCTCAAACTTTTAGTTACTAATGAATGGTAGAAGGTGTAGGGGGATAAATAGTACATTACAAATCTTGGTGTAGAAGTATGCCTTTATTTGACAAACATATGTTTGCTTTTTCCATAAGCATAACAGGATGTAAGGATAAGTGAGCCTCGGGTAATTAAAATTGCGAAATGAAATTATTAATGTTTTATTGTAATTGCTATACATTATTAACCATTAAAAGATATATAAGTAAATATACAATATACAACAATTGAGAGTATTAGTAAAATTAGTCTATCAGGTTACAAATTTTCAACAAACTGTATAAAATGTCAACATTATTACTATATAAAAACAACTTATCAAATAAAAGTTTATAAACCTTATCACCCATTCTGATTAATAAATAGAAAGAAACAATAAATACATGAGCACAATGCTGGAATTCTGAATTAATACTACAACATAATTGTCCTAGTACAGTGACTGCTGCAGCGCTGCAATTACACTTCTATATGGAGAAAAATAAAATTGAATGGAAAATGCAAGCGTTATTAGAGAGTTTTTAACGCTCTTATTTTGCTGCTTCGTTAAGATCTTAGTGATTTCGATTTTGCGCAGTAGCAAGGTCTATCACAATTTTAATCTTGGCATTTTGCTCAATATCTGTTGCCGTATTTTCCTCCGTATAGGAGTGCAATACCTGCGCGACAGCCACCATTATATAGGGCCAATAACATACATAATACGATTTAGCGTTAACTTTCTTTTTCATTTATATTATCGAATAAACTATAACGATTGCAAAAATATCTCATTACAGCTGTTTTCAGTTCTTAGGTATAGTCGTTTTAAAAATACGGATGTTATCATTAATGGACAGAAACATCATACCTTTTTGTCTGAGATTTAGGTAAGAGGCACAACCCATAATTGAAAAGTTATTGATACGAAGGTACATACAGACAATGTAAAACTCACAACAAAAATTAACTAATACGAGATATTTTGTCTTTACTCCTGTATTTGCATTCATATATAAAGCGTGTTGTTAAATGTCACGTCGCTTTTCCTGTTCAATAACACTATTATAAATAGAAACTTTAATTATCAACTTGGCAAGAAAATGTTTGTTATAATTTATGTATTGTCTGTTTCAAAAGTAAAGGGTATCCCATAATTAACGCAAGATTTTAATTTGCCACCACGTTTGCAGTAAATTGCAGGCAGCCCTGAAAAAAGAGCAATTTGACAGCTGAGATGTTAGGGTAGAGCGTTATAGGACGCAATAATGTAGTTTTCATTATCGAATAATAGTTCAAAAATCATGAAAGTTCATCGTCCGCTGTTCGAAAATTTTATACAAAATATGGCCGGATTAATTGAAAAATTCAGAGAGACTGGATCAGTTGGACACGCTAACCACACCGGTCGTCCAAAAACAATCCGTTCAAATGTCCATGTCGAGTGAGTGCATGAGAGTGTTGGTCAAAACCCAGGAACGTCAATTCGGTGTCGTGGACAAGAACTGCAAATTTCAAGAAATTCTCTACAGCGTATACTCACAAAAGATCTGCATCTCTATGCTTACAAAAGTCAATCAAAACAATGCGTAAGGACCATGACCAGGGAAGAAAGTTCGTGGAATGGATTATTGAACATCAACAAGTAGATGCTGATTTTTCGAGTAAAATCATCCTAAGCGATAAAGCACATTTTCACCTAGATGGTTTTGATAATCGCCAAAATTGTCGTATTTGTCGTTCGCAGAACCCACGTGTGATTGTCGAAAAAGGAATGCGCCCACAACGTGTCACTATTTGGTGCAGATTTTGGGCTCGAACCATCATTGGACCATACTTTTTTGAAAATGAGGCTGGTGAAGCGGTAACTGTTACTGGTCCTCGATATCTCGACATGATAACACACTTCTTTCTGCCGAAATTGGATGCTGTGGATGTGTCCATTACAGTGGACCTCCGGTAATCCGACAAACATTATGCAGGGCAGTGTCGGACTATCGAATTTGTCGGATTATAGAGCACTGCCTAAGACTCCCTATAGTCCAGAATTTTTTACAAAAGGGTGCCTTGTAATCCGACAAATTACATATCCAATGGTAAGATTATATATGTTATGTATATGTATGTACTTTGAAGTACAGATCATACTTAGTTTATGTATGTCGAATTTAGTAAATTAAATAACAATAGAGAGCTTACGTTTTATTATTAAATTAAGCATACATGCACATACATATGTACCAAAATAATCAAGAATTATTAATCAAAATCATTGATGAATTTATCAAATTATGAAGCTTGGAAATATTCATCATTTTTTTTTTGTTTAAGGTTGTTATAACGCGAGATCAGAGCTTTTTCCCTCAGTCTTCTCAAAAGTAAAAGTTCGTTGTAGGATGTACCATTCTCTTCAGCCCATTGTAAACCTAGCTCAAAGGCGTTAATTGCGTCTTGTGCTGTGACTTGTGGAGCAGTTGCAATCTCGTCGTCGTTATTTTCCTGATTGTTTGTTGTATAATTAGAAACCTCTTTTATAATCTCTTCGACAGACATTTCATGAAAAACATTTTCCTCTTTATCCATTCCACGGCACCAGATTTCCAAATCTTCCGGACTTATCTGTGTTTCAGTAGCGACTTGTTCTATAACTTCCGAAGTAACACTGATTTGTGGAACGTTGCTAGGAGTGGTGACTATATCTGGCCATAACTTTTTCCAAGATGATTTAATAGTTGATGACGGTAACGCATTCCACGACTGACAAATAGCAAAAACCAAGTCTTTCATATTAAATTCTTTTAAAGTCTTTTCTATTGCTTGGTCCTTTGATACGGCTCTCAGAAGTAGGTTTTTCTTATAGTCTTGCTTGACAAACTAAATGATATTCTGGTCCATTGGTTGAATCAGTGCAGTGCAATTTGGCGGAAGAAACATCGCAGTGATGCATTTATCCTCAGGTGTTAGTTTTTCTTCAGGCGGATGACCGGGAGCGTTATCAAGAAGCAACAACGCTTTTTGAGGAAAATTATGATCTTTTAACCATTTTCTAACTTCAGGTACGAAGCATTCAACAAACCACTTTTTGAAAAGGTCTTTTGTCATCCATGCACTTTTTTGTCCGTAATAGTGTACAGGTAAATCAGAAAGCCCGTGGTTTATTAGATTTCCCAATGACCATCATCTTAAGCGCGTGTGTGCCCGCAGCGTTAGCACATAGTAGTATGGTTACACGCTCTTTACTTACTTTTCGTCCAGGTACGAATTTTTCGTTAAAAGAAACGAAAGTTTTGTTAGGCATCACAGGCCAAAAAAGCCCTGATTCGTCTGCATTGTACACCTGTGACGGGTCAAGATTTAAATCGTTCACCTTTTGCAAAAATCTTAATTTAAAGGGCTCTATGCAGGTGACATGGTTAGAAAGTTTTTCTCCAGTAATAGTCATTAAACGTATGCCGTATGACTTTTAAAACGTTCTAGCCATCCTTTGCTGGTCACAAAATCATCTTTTTTGTTATTTCCTTATAAAAAAACTTAGCTTTCATGGCCAACATGGGTCCAGAAATTGGTATATCGTTTCAACAAGACACATGAGGCATTTCCTGGTCGTGTACATTCCCGTTTCGGTGGTCAGAATTGGCCTCCTAGATGGAGTGACTTAACACCATTAGAGTTCTTCTTATGGGGTTATTTAAAGTCAAAGGCTAACAAGTCCACAACTCGAAACTCAGCCACCTTTATGCAGAAAGGTCATGGAAAATCGTCGTTTGCCCGACGTGATATTCCATACATAACCCCATCCTAAGTATTTTATGGTTCAAAAAAAATAATGTGAAGACTTAAAACTGTGTTTTCTATTTAATTCAAAACTTGCGTTAATTTTGGGACACGCTTTATACGCGCTAGACGTGATGACATAAATTGCTACATGTAATATTATTCTAGAAAAATGCCATGTGATATTTGTTGTGTAAACATCACCGCATCTTCATTTAAATGTGGCAACGAATGTTGCTCATCATTGCAATCATCCTGATATGTGTTGTCGGCGCGATAATTTACAAATAAGAACAATATATCACAGTTTTCCAGAAAAATAGTTTTCTTTGTATCAGCGCTCTCCTATGTTTCCTTTTTGAATTGTAGGAAATTTCAGGCTGATAAAAGAGATGATTCCACACACCAGTTTATAAGAGAATTTCATTTAGTGGCAAATTTAAGTGCTGAGAAATTTTGGTAATTCTTTAAATATATTGAGTAGAAGTCAGTTTGCTCTAGGGTATAATTATCAGGTGATCTGGAATCACATGGAGACTTAAATCAATAACATGTTACGATCATATCGATAAAACTTGCTCAAATTACAATCCTCTACACAGAAACTAGTTCGAAAAAACAATACCAAAAGTAAAATGCCTGTATTGAATTTGTGGTAATGCTGTCATTTGAACACAAAAATTTGAATGTATGGAGCCTTACTTTGATTGTCTAGCAGATGAATAAAGAATATATTTCAATCTTATTTCCGATATTACTCAAAAGATATCAAAGTCTAACGAAGAAAACATTTTTTGTTACACTGAACTGTTGCTTTATTCGAGGATCATTTCCAAAATATCACCTATCAGTTGCATGAACATAATTCTTATTTTTCTGAATATTTTGATATCCCGAATATTTTTCAAATGAATTATTTTTGACAAAATTTGCCGAAACGTTTTGAATTATCAACGTCACTACCTTTTTAACCATTTCGGTTACAAACAGGAGATGTAGCAAACATTCAAGCGGTTATTCGTTATTTGTCTTTTGAAGGTTTTTGAAAAACTGCCGTTCTCAAGAAACACGGCGATGGCATATCGTAAAAAAAAGGTCCCAGTACCGATCCTTGGGAAACATCTCCCTGGATAACACGGACATATTACTTTTTCCTTGAAGGTATTATTGAAAAAGTAGAAATGGCAATCCCCGAACTCCTTATCTGCACAAATTATACAGCAGCAATTCATGATCAACATAATAGATTATGCAAAACTATACACCGCCGTATCAGTACTTTTACCATTGATAAAACCATGCAGATTTTCCGAGATCAGCGTATTTCTACTGCAAACATCTACCTGCCGTTTTTTCATATTAAGGTCAAAAACTCGATAACAGGCTAATGCCTCTGCAATTCGCATAGTCATTTGGATAATTTCTTTTATGGATTGGTGTAACTAATGCTAGTTTTAAACAGCTTGGAAAATTTCCTTAAACGTTATGGTAGTTATTATTGAAATGGGTAATAGGGAGGTCAAAACAAGTCAAAAAGTTCATATGACCCATGGTCCAAAAGTCAATAGATTTTTGTCTAAATTTCTTTATAGTTTACAACTTAAGTTAAGCCAAAATTTGTAGTCAGTAAGTAAGTAAGTTTCATTAAATTAAATATTTAAGACACACATGACAACAGCGCGTCGGTCATTCATCACTATTATCGAACCGGCAATCGATCGCAAACGGTAACAGTGGTTAGTTATTGTTCGCGTACGTCGTCGTGTTTATTTACAATGTTCTCGAATCAAGAGTTCGCCGACATGTTGTTAGTTTACGGTGAAGCTCGTCAGAATTCAAATTTTGCAGCTCAAATTTATCGCCACAGATTTCGCCAACGGGTACATCCAGACGGAAGGACATTTGTGCAAGTGGTCGAGATACAGGAAGTCTTCAGCCCACTAATATTTGCACTCGTGAAAGACAGGTTACTGTAGAGCAGGAGGAACAAATTTTAAATATCGTGGAAATCAATGAAGATATCTACACTCGGGAATTAGACCGCCGCGTAGGACTATCGCATACCATAGTCCATAGAATCCTACGGGAAAATTTGCTTTATCCCAGCATGTACAACGAGTCCAGGCCTTGTTACCAGAAGACGATCCTCGCAGACTAACATTCTGTCAGTGGTTTTTGCACAAAAACATTGAAAATTCGGATTCTTTTAAAAACATTCTAGCGACGGACGAATGTACTTTTACGCGAGACGGGCTATTAAATTTCCATAATACTCACACGTGGGCCCAAGAAAATCCTCATACCATTCGTGAAGTACGTAATGAAGCTTGTGTGGAAAGTGAACGACGACATTTTGAACACCTTCTTTAGATACAAAAAAGTGCAGTGTGGGTTTAAAAAAGAAAAACAATGTATGTATCAAAATTATGTTCCCTATTTATAAGTGGATTTTTTTAATACGTTCAATAAACTTTCACACACCAAGTGAACCGGTGAGACAGTTAGTGGTAAGTCCGTTTTTTTAATTGTTTGCATTTTACGAGTACATTATCAAATAATGAAATAATACCTAAGAGCCAAAATAACAAACTCACCCTCTATCACCCATTTAAATAATGACTATCATAACGTTTACACCCATTTCAAAAACACATTTTTTCAGCAACTTATTTGAGACATCATCATATCCACAAAAATTTGAATCTTTCAACTGGGATACGAATTGTACTAATTCGATTGTCAATTTTAATGTGTTAGTGAAGCACCTCAATAAATGTTTAGTTGATCAATGAATGCTTCCTGTTCATTCATGTAATGTAGTTTCATGAGTTGTGTATGTTCCATTATTACTTTTTTATAGTATTGCTTTTAATGTGGATATTCCATTTTCATCTTCCTGCAGGCGTTACGAATTCGTTCTTCCAACCTTAAGAGCATCCCGATACGATTTGTTATAAATTGCCTTTTGGTGAATAAATGTCATTCAGTGACATTAGAAGTGTTACACTCAGAAAAAATAATTTCTTCAACTTGTTTTTTTGGCAAGATATGACTATATTTAAAGAATGCTGTGGCAGCAATGTCAACGTTTTATCTTTGTTTTTACTTTCCTTTGTTAAAATGTTATCTCTTAGTTTTTGTGAAATAAAGCAGTTTCGGAGAGATATTTTTAGATATTGCCCTTTCATTTACTAGTGTTAAGCATAATACAATGCTTCGAGCTAGAATACGTAAAAAATTATCACCATGTTAGTGAATTTGGGTAGAATTATTGCCTATCGAGATGATGGTTTGTCCCTAGTTAACTGTACTGCAATGACGGTAATGCGTGTGTGTCGTGTGCGGATAGAAAAAGGTAGAGAAACACGAAGAAGGCCAACTGGTCCACCGCGAACCAGTGTCGCCGAGAACGGCAACATTGGGAGTCAGAATGGCATAATGTCATCTTCAGCGACGAATCGCGATTCTGTCTAGGTACGCACGATGGTCGTAGAAGGACCGTCGACACGTCCTTTTTCAGCAAGACAACGCACGTATTGCCCGTCGTACTACGGACTTTCTTCAAGAAACAGGCGTTAATGTTTTGCCGTCCACCAGATTTAAATCCCATCGAACACGTGTGGGATATGACTGGGAAAAGGTGCCACAACCAGACGTCGATCATCTCATTTTGTCGACGCCTAGGCATATCCAAGAGTGTGTTCAGCTGTGGGGTCGCCCAACGCATTATTAATTTGTTTTCTTATTACTTCCTGATGAACAAAACCTAATTGCTGAAGTTAGGCATACCCCAAAGATAAGTGATCACTCATGGATATATTTCGAAGTGGGAAATATGTTCGATGAAAATAAAATGAAAGAAATTACAGTCATTGAATTCACAAAATTACGAGAAACACTTTTACAACACAATATACCTGAAATTATCGATAATGCCGACAACTACTTCGTGAAAATTATGAATAATATGGATAAGTATATTAGTGGAGCTAATAATATATGAAAGAGTGAACCCAACACCCTGGCTTTCACAGATATTCAAGGAGTCTAAATTAAAACGTGATAACGACTACAGAAAATTTGTGTGTGTAGGAGTTCTTAAAAGGGAAAATAAAAAATACTATGATAAGAAGATCGATAGCAATCAAAATCTAAAATGATGTGGAAAACGTTAAAGAATATTGTTTCTCTGAATTATCTAAAATGAGTTTCGAAGATGGGGTAGTAACAGACAAATTAATTATAGCAGAAAGAACGAACACTTATTTTATAGAAAGTGTAAATCAAATAGTGAAGACGATTGATGACGGTGATTCAAACATATGTCCATTACAAGTATGTCAGAATGCATCAACGAAGCAATTTAGGACAATTAACATCAACAATCTAAGAAAAGCTATCTCAAAATTGAAATCTAATAAAAATCCAAGTGAGAATCTCTCAAACAATATTCGAAATGAATGTTTCAATATAATTGGAGAGAAATTATTATTATTGGTGAATCATTGTTTAGTACATGGTAATTCAAAATTAAAGTGTTCCACTATTACTCCGGTGCCAAAAGTTCAAAATTCTCAGCTGTATACAAATATGAGACCGATTAATGTCTTGCCCGATGTCGAGAACCTGTTCGAAGGGAAAATATACGAACAAATCAAAGAATTCATTAAGAAACTAAAATTATGATAAAAAATCAAGCTTTATTTAGAAAAAAAAATTCCACAGAAACGGCAATCCAACTGGTGGTGGAAGACTGGAGAAGAAGTAGGTATAGATGAGAAATAATATACTGTAACAATATTTTTAGACTTCAAAAGGGCATTTGAGACTATAGATAGGGAAAAATTGTTAATGAAATTGCGTCACTATGGCTTTAAAGGATCAGTATTACACATTTTACAAAATTATTTAGTGAATAGAAGTAAAAAAACTAAAGTTGGAAATTTTATGTCAAGTGCTCAAAATATATCAGTAGGGGTTCCACCGGGGAGTAAATTAGGGCCGTTGCTATTTATTATATAAATGATATATCTGACATTTTAGAACACTGCAAAATTCAAATATTTGCGGACGATACACTTATATATATATATATATATACAGGGTGACTTCGAAGTTGAGTCATTTATTTTAACAGTGAGTAGATCTGATCAAAAGAAATGTTTTTTTCCTTTACCATTTTTCTGGTAAAATTAAAGTAACAAAGTTATAGCCCTTTGGAAGTTTGAGTACCGTCCTGTCTCAATAATAATATTATGTGCTCGTGTTTGGCAACAACGGATATAATCCGCGTTATCGGTTCATCGCATCGGAAACAAAAAAGCGAAAGAATTTGGAACGATGTTTTTACAATTATTTTATTCAGTTCAGTTGTATACAGTCAGTGTCAGTCGGTAACGCGTGAGTGAATAGTGGTGTCTGTTGCGTGGCTCAAACGAAATAAAAAATGGCACATGTTTATGCGGATCGGTTTCCCAATCGAGTGCAACCAACCCCTCGTGCCTTTGTTAATGTGGTACAACGGGCTCGTGAATCAGGTGACCTCACAGGGGACGGCATGCCGGTGCTCCAAGACCTCACGATCAAATACAGGTCCGCACTGAAATACTTGTCGGGAGGATACTTTATAAAACAAGGTAAATTTTTTTTTATTTTTACACACATATTTTGGTTTATCTTCCTTCTACAATCATTATCTGAAAATTAATGACTCAACTTCAAAGTCACCCTGTATATACATATATATATATATATATAGCACATAAGCATTTGGACACTGCTTTAGAAGTGTTAAATAGTGATATTGAAAAAATTATGAATTGGTTAAATGTCAATAAACTGAAATTAAACACTAATAAAATAAAATATATAATACAATTAGGCTCATGATTAATGATGAAAAAATTGAAGTAGTCGAGTCATTTAAATATTTTGGTATATATGTGGATGGTAAGCTACTGTTTCGCGAACATTATGAATACATTATTTCAAAAATATCGAAAAAGATAAATTACTTCTATAGAGTTTCCCATAATCTTAGTATGTGTTCCAAAAAAATTGTGTATAACACTATAATTCTCCCCCATTTTTATATTGTTCAACCATCTTGTTTACAGCAAATGAACACATATTTTCAAAACTACAAATTCTACAAAATAAAGCTATGAGAATCATTTTAAATAAAAACAAATATGCCAGGATTAAGTCTATGTTAGAAGAACTGCAGTGGTTGGATGTGAAAAATTTCATATATTATTTAGTTCTCGTTTTCATATTCAAATTAAAAAATCATTTATTACCACCACATTTAGAGAACTTTACAGAATTAAATAATCATTATCATAAATATGAAACTAGAGGCAGTATAGATTTTCATCTGCAAAATTGTAATAGTAGCATAACCAGTAAATCTATATTGAATAATGATATTAAACAGAGTTCGAATTTAAAAATGTTTAAGGTGAAATTAAAAAATCACTTTCTGAACAATCAAAATACATGGTGACATAATTTCAATTTTAATAGACAAGAATGTAAAATTACAGAAAATGGATTGAAGAAAAATATGAAACCGAATCATTATACAAAATTGACAATGCTAAATATCTTCAACATCAACAACCTCATTGCCAAAAAATCTAGTTGAAGAAATTATGTTTTGTGGGTATAACACTTCTAATGTCACTGAAATATATCATTAAACAGAAAGAAAGAATAGGCCGCGGAATGTTTGCTCGCTATATCCAGTATAAACATCGCACAAAAATTGGCTTGCATCGCAAATGACAACAACATACCTTAGGCAATGACACATCCAGAACCTTCCGCGACGCCATTCTTCTCCAGCTGACCGTTGACAGCGCCGTCTGTGACGTTATTTGCGACGGCCTCGTTCAGCTTGTCCGTCATCGTGTTGCCACCGACGCTCGGTATTTTCTTTTCTCTGAGTATCGGATGACTGTTCCTGGCGTTGTCTTGATTCGAGCTCGTCTTACGAGACCGACTCAGAACTGGCGACGCCACTTCGTTCAACGACGCCGAAACGGCTCGTTGGTATTCGGTGATTTGTTGTTGTTGGATCTTCGTTTCGAGGATACGCGACAGGACGGAGATTTGATTTTGTATGGCGAGCATGAATGCCTTGTATCCTAGGCTGCGAATATCAATTCGGTGAGTGAATGGCTGATAGAAGAAAAATTAGAAAATACGGGAAATATCATAAATTAGTGATGTATCTTTGGTTTCGACTGCGGACGGCCAACAATGGACGGCAGTTTCGTGCTATTTGGAAACTGCTCAGCATGGTACAGGCTTGGTCTAGGAGGATAACTAACAAGAGCTGTGCAACTCTATTTAGAGTATACATTTCTGTTGGTGTAATGACATTTATGATATTTTAGATTATTGTGAAATTCAGATATTTGCAGATCATACATTAATACACATATCAGATGAAAATATAGACACTGCAATAAAAATGCTGAATTCTGCATTGACAAAAATCATTAATTGGTTAAATGCAAATAAACTGAAATTGATTGCTTCTAAAACAAAATGTATGCTAATAGGGATCACAGTTACGATAAAAGGTGAAATAATTGAAAATGTTGAATCAAATATTTAGGTATACAGGGTGTCCCGAAAAAAGTGTGCAATATTCTACCAGCGGTTTCTAAAGCTTACAATTTTAAGCTCTAGAAACCGCTGTTAGAATATTGCACACTTTTTTCAAGATACCCTGTATACACACAACGTATCCGACAAATTTTAATCACATATGCACTGTTACGAAAGAAGTTGATATATTGATAGTAAACTAAAATTTGAGGATTACTATTTCAAAAATTGACGAAAAAAACAAATTACTTTTATAGGCCTTCTCATAGTCTCAGTACAAATATCAACATGCATTTGCTTACCATTCAGTATTCGTCCAATAATTCAAGATGAGCAAACCTTGGCGAAGCCTCGACACAGACTCGATCGACTGATCTGGCGGTTTCGCAGCATTCACAGTTCGTAAAACAGCCATAGCATCTCTGAGCAATATTGATATTAACAACGACCATTCGAGGCAACCCGCTTCCATAAACAATTGAAGGAGGTACCTGATAACAAAAATGTATATACAGGGTGGGCCAGTGAGTTGAGCCGATTTCAAATAGAAAAACTACAAGCAATATTCTTATTCCTTGATTTAAAAAATGGCCGTTAAAAGCTTTGAATATTAAAAAAAATTACTTTTATAGAATTTCGCATAGCCTGAGCGTTTATTTAAAAAAAATGTGTACAACACTATTGTTCTTCCTCATTTGTTATATTGTGTGACTGTTTTGTTCACTGCAAACGAAACTGTATTTTCAAAACTACAAATATTACAAATAAAGAATATAAGAATCATCTTGAGTAAAAATAAATATATTAGAATAAATTTTGTGCTGAAAAAACAACAATGATAAATATAAAAAATTGCATAACCTACTTGGTTTCCATTTTCAGTATTCAAGTTAAAAAATCATCTACTAAATCACTTTTTAGATTGGTTTAGAAATTATTTGTCAAAAAGGATGCAAGTTACAAAAGTTAATGACACCATTTCATAAAAAATTGAAAATACGTTTGGTGTTCCACAGGGCAGTATCCTGGGACCACTTCTTTTTATTTTATGGAACAATATTAACAGATAAACGACAAATATCCGATGCATTCTTAAATTTTTTCACTAATGTTGGAGAAAATTTAGCATCCAGTATTAAAAAAATGGTTTCGAACGAAAAGTTCACAAAAACCCAACTTCCCAATTCATTCTTTTTAGAAAGCGTTAGTCCGATTGAAGTACAAGAAGCTATCCTATCACTTAAAACCAAAAAAAGTCCTGGTGTAGATGGTATCAAAGCCGACCATTTAAAAATAATAGCCTACGACTTAGCCGAACCACTTTCTTACGTCATTAATTGGTGTTTCCAATCTGGAATTTGTCCTGATGCATTTAAAACAACTGTTATTCATCAAATTATAGACCCATATCAGTACTATCGAATATAGCCAAAATTTTCGAAAAATTACTACAAAAAATGATATTACAATTTTTGGACAAAAACAAAATTATATGTTCTGACCAATATGGATTTAGAAAAGGAAAATCTACTACAGATGCAATTTTGGCTGCAATGGATGAAATTAATGTCAACAAAAAGATACCTACTATTGGTATCTTTGTTGATCTAAAAAATGCCTTTGATACGTTTAACCATGTCGAGCTTCTGAAAGTTATGGAAAGATTGGGATTTAGGGGAGCGTCACAAATCCTTTTAAAAAATTACCTTTCAAGTCGGGCACAGACTGTCAAAATCACTAACACTTACAGTAAAAAATGTACATCAAGTGTGGTGTGCCTCAAGGAACAGTACTAGGCCCACTATTATTAGTCTCTACT